TGTACGTATTTCAAGACGAGCTGATCGCCTGATCCTGGGGTTTTTGCATAGATATCTATGGGTTTTTGTGGCAAATCGAGCTGCGGAATCCTCAGCATGGACAAATCAGTGTCATAACAGACCATTTCAAACTATCAGAGAGCTCCACTTGTTTTAAAGCAATAAAACAAGTTTTTATTGTATTATCATATGTATCATATATAATTAATATAAACAAATTAAGGGAGTGGTCATTATTTATGGGGAGGGGGGTTGGTAAATGGGGAAAATAAGGATTAAAAACTTCGTTGACCCCTCCTCTCCAGACTGAAGGCAAACTTTTTGTGCCTCCCCCCTCTTAAAATAGAAACTTTTCTGCCCCCCCCCAGTGTGGATTGAAAAATTAACAGCAATGAAACAGGCGTGCATTGCAGGTAAAGTTAGATATTAGGACAATCTGTTTAAATCTAGCTCATGATGTTTTACCCTGGTGAATATGATTCAACCATATATGATTAAAAAATATATATTATGTGTTACTACTGCAATGCAACATTTGTCCTACCATAACCCTAACCCATGGCCCGTCTTCATACAGCGAAATGATTTGAACACAGGGCTTTTTTTAAGAACTTGTCTGGGGGGTGGGCATCTACAAAAAGGGACCATACTATACTGAGTGTGGAGAGATGACAGATGGTTGTTGGTGACAAAAAGTTTGGTGTGGTATTGTATGTATTAGTAGGGGGGGGGGGGTCTGGGGAAATTTTTTTTGTATTTTTCCCCAGGACTGAAATGTGAGCATTTTCTGAAACAGATTTTTGGATATACAGCGTTACATTGTGCTTTGATAGACCGAATCTGATCAGTTAAGTGTACTTGCATGGTATGTTTATGTAAATACCACAGCTGGGTCACACAGGGGGTAGGAAGCTTGTTAAACTTAGTGGGCACCACTCCCACAAGGCACTACCATGGTTGGCACAGAGCAGGGAAATTTTGAAAATTTTGAGTCTCTAGATCATTGGAAATGGCATTTTCAGAGTCTTCTTTTTTGCTATTTGTGATTATAGAAACCAGAACTCTAGACATGGTATTTAAGTTCAAAAACTTTTTTACCCCCCCCCCCTTTCTCTGTGTTAAAACTTTGTTTGGGTAAAACTTTGTTTGCCCCCCCTCCCATTTACCACCCCCCCATAAATAATGACCACTCCCTAAGTAGCATGTTATTGTTGGGATCTCAGATCAATTTAATAAATATATAAATAGACATCTTCTTGTTTTATTGTTGCATCAATTTTAATTGGAAAAAATACTCAAAGTAGATCAAGTGTATGGATAAATTATTCATTTACTAAAGTACATTTTTACAGTTATTTATGCGACCTCGTACCCAGAGTCCTTCCTCTTGGGGAGAAAAGACCCCGGTAGATGCTGGTCACGTGATCTGCTAAAATCTAGCAGATTTCTAATTAACTATCTTGAATTCCTTTATGACAATCATATACAAAATGCAAATTATAAATTAACATATAAAAATCATCCAAATATCAAATATTTATTGACCTCATCTTGGATTGCTAATTAAAAATCTGCTAGATTTTAACAGATCATGTGACCAGCATCTACCAGGGTCTTTTCTCCCCTGGTTACAAGGTTGTTATTTATGTACTTAGTCTTATTTGCATGAGTGTACATGACAGATTGTTTTAATTAGATATACCCAGTTATATCATAATTTTATAACATATGGTTTGTTTAAAAATGCTGGAAAAAACCAAAAAAGTTAGTCAATTGAAATAAATGCACTAATAACTTGCTAAACATAGCTAATTGCTATTTATTATATAAAAACATCTGTCAACATACACTCATGCTTTTTCCTACCACCAATGAGTCTCCACTCACCAGGTTTCATTATGAAAATTTTTGGATTAAATCATGGGTGGATTTACTGGGGGGGGGGAGTTAGGAGGGGTTAACCCCCCCCCCTTAGAATCTCTCTAACCCATCTTATAAAGTGTTCAACCCCACCAAAATTTTGCTTCAAAAGTCTTTAACCCTAATGCCAAACCCCTGTAAAAAAGCTCACTCAGTGGTGCTGCTTGCCCCCCCCCCTGAAAGGTTTCCACCCCTCCTTTAAAAAAAAATAAAAAATCCACCCTTTTTAATTAAAAAAGTCAACCCTATACTTGATACACTGAACATAGACAATAGACATCCACGACATCTGCAGCAATTAGTGGGTGCAAATACTTGCATAGTTGAAAAGCAATATAACCAACATGTTGTCATCCAGTTCCATAGTCTAGTCAATAGGCAATTCCAGCTTTTAATTTATGTGTGCAGGGGGCAACAGGAAGTAAGGTATCATATAGCTGATTATGCTGAAAAATTTTAATAAAATAAACTAAAAGCTGGAATTGCCTATTGCACTTGGGTCCCTTGGATTCAATGGTGCTGGCCATATTCTTACATTCACTGTTTTATCTTGTTCACGAAGAGTGAGGTATTATGTCTTAATTTAATTTTCCAAATGATGTTGGTAGTTTTTCTCACGAGCATCCCCGATGCACTTGAACGCTACAGCATGGGCGATTTCCTCCTCATCACTTTCATCTTCTCACTTAAACGTCATCACTTTCTGCCCTATCACCTTGATCACCTCTTTCATTATCATATTCATCCTGAACAGGCTCAAGACCAACCAACCACTCAAGTAAATCTCTTTCTACAAAATCATAACAAGAAAATTATTATTTGATACATTATCATCGCTAAAATTAGCAAACATGTAATCTCTAAAATTATATTCTCACAACCATCCACAACTAGATACAAACAGGCATCATACTCAGCAAAATGTATAAAACAATACATACAAATAACTGAATAACAATATACCTTCAGACTCATCTGAGAACCAATGTATAAACTATACACAGTGCACATATATGTAAAAATCTATCCATATACAAACAGGTATCATACTTCAGCAAAAAGTTATTAAACAATTCGTTTAACTCAAAACATGTACATATGTATCACAGTGACACAGTACATATACACACACAAAGGGTCAAATCAGAGGCATTATAAACACAAGTATGACGCCATAATTTTGTACAGTGTATTTATAAAATTACAGTACAAGAATAAAAACAACAAAGCGGAAATTTGACTATAAAATAACACGATAACTGTACAGTGGCGCCGGCAAGGGGGGGCGAGGGGGGGCAGCCGCCCCCCCAATATTCTCCAGAGTGGGTTTTTGGATTTGTCCAAATCCGATGTCGTAGGGGGGGGGGGGTGCGGTGTGTAAATATTTGGTTGTCAAGTGTACGCCGTTGCGTGTAATGGCCAAGGAAACGAAAGAACGAAATCGTTCTTTGGTTGATTTATACCGCGAACTTCTTCAAGAACCCGAATGCTTCCACAATTTGTCAAAAATTATTAAGATTCCCCTTACTCTCCCTTTGACATCAGCATCTGCTGAGAGATCATTTTCCAAGCTGAAAATAATAAAAAATCGCCTGAGGTCGACGATGAGGCAAGATCGACTAGAATCGCTGATGCTCATGTCCGTGGAATCTGACACTTGTCGGGGCCTCGACATCGAAGGACTCGTTGAACGATTTACCGACGCAGCTCCCCGAAGATGGAACTTGTACTAAATATGTATTATAACATTAAATTCTTCATTTCATTCTTGGTTTTATTAAAAATACATTTGATTCATATATTGTATGGAAATCAATGATGTTCCGATCTACTAAAAAAGTGATTTATTAAAACCTTTATGTTTCTCTTAAAGTGCCTCTAAAACGCAGGAAATGCGGTTTTAGACACCCAAAATTCAAAATTTTCTCGGGGGGGCATACCCCCGAACCCCCCTAGTAGGCTCGTGCCTTTGGCACTCGAATGATTTGCCCCCCCCAAAATAAATCCTGCCGGCGCCACTGTAACTGTAATGCATTGTAGTATACCAACCTTATTAAAATACTGCGCTTGTTTTCACGTTGATGATACACGGAGATTTAACGCCATCCAACTTAGAAAGAAGAGCCTCGCTATTGGGAATATAAAATTAAACACAATTCCTTTTCTCAGACGGATTATTTATAAAGCTAAAATGACAGCACGTCTCATGCAATTTAAATTAAAAAAGGTAAACTTGATATAGTAAAACACAATTCATAATGATGATCGCAACAATACAGCAATAACATGCTGTTTCTTTTCACAAAGTATCGCAGCCTGACACTCTTGTCGTTCGAAAGCTTCCATATTGGTTTAGTCAGAGAGATGTTCACTCCTCGACAGTCAACAGTCAATGAAGCCACGCGCGGAATTAGGCGCTCAATACCCATGATGCTTTGCGGCCTGCTGTCCAACCTCCTCTGATTGTTAGGTCGTCAAGTAGAATTGAAATAGCCAATAAAAATTTTCGTTGCCATTGTCCTTTAAAGATAAACATCTGTCAAAATTCAAATTTCTTCGAAATATATTTGGCACTTGATGCTGTCGCCACTACTCACTAGAGTATGTCATCCTATCCGCGTTTTAAATATAACCGAACATCTTTAATATCCGAATCAGATAATTAATGGTACATTTTATTTCCTGCATGGACAAATATCAGTGTCATTAATTTCAATTTATGTGCAATTTTGACCAAAATTCAACCGACGACTGCTTTTAAAATACAAAAATATTTATGTTCTATTTATTCCGCTCCTAAATCACTTTCCGAAATATAGAAGGTTCGCTGTGATTGGTCGATCGGAGGGAATGAAATGTGCAGTTCGTTTCAGCAGACGTTCGTTAGCGAGGGTTAGAGCTATGAGAACGTCTGTGAGGGAGACTACACTGGCACAGACAGTTCAAAAATCCAACAAAATTTATTGGAAAAAACCCGTGAATAATAAAAAAAATCTACTAAAATATACCGGCGTATTTTTGAAGGTCCGAAAATAGGTCCGAAATGCTCCTCAATAATACATATAAGATAAGTAAATATACCGTTGCTTTTTTCTCATTGTCAGAAGGATGATTTGGTGGAGATTCGCTGGCCAAACTCCAGCTTTCTTTCTTGCAACATATTAATGATCGGAAGAAATCTGGAATATTGAACAGGAGTTCTGGACCTGGACGCGTCTGGCGATCAGTGTTTGTTTCTTTAAATGAAAAGAAAAGAAAACGAACTGCAATTTATAAAGTTTTACTAGGAAATTATGAAACGCAATTGAAGATGAAACTTAAAGATGCCGAAAAACATGCACACAATTGTGCCCTGATTGTGCAGACAGGTTGTCACACAGAATTTTGTTGTGTTTTTTTCCCTCACAATGTGTTTGATTACTGTACGTCACAGCATTCTTTATATATTTGTAAGTATTGGAATTGAGATATTACTTTGATATTCCCAAAACCCTTTAAAGATGCTGTAAAGTCCGTTCTGCATAAAAAAGGGGGAATCGCAGATATAAACATTGCCCAAATTTTGCATCTTTGAACTAGCTGGCTTGTATTCATTTACATGCATAGCGAACCAGATATTCAGTTAGAATATCATATTTTACAAATATAGCAGTTCAAAATGTGAACAATTATAAAGCGTTTGTTTACATTACGGACTTTACGGCATCTCTAAAATTAGGCTACCTTTCAAAATCACAGTGAATATCAATTAATATTGATCTGGCAGTACGTACCACATATCAAGCTGACTATAGCTCCCACAACAAATGTTGTAGCCACGCCAGTTGCACCATACCACAAATATGATAGACTCCCAAGTTTTGCGAACGGTTCACTTCAAAAGAACATGAGAAAGTTAATTTGAATATTGAAACTGCAATTTATTTGGTACAGTACGTTTTTTGCAGAACTACATTGCACATCGTTTTGGCAGAAGCACATTACACATTAGTGGTTTGTATTGTTTGCTACTTTTCAACATTTCCAGTGCTATGTTTGTTTGTTAATGCCCAGCGAGAAAGCACGATAACAACGGAAATATTGTGAAATGTTACCGTACAGTATCTGTAATAATACAGTCTTCTATGCATTAACTTTCGTTAAAATTAATCACATTTTAACAAGGGGTAAAAACGAAATTTTAGCATGGAAGCCATTACAGTAATTAAAATAAATACGTATTAGAAATTATTATAAACATGTATGTTTCGCAATCACACCAAATACGCCGTTTTGTTAACGCAAACTTTTCTTTGTCCCATTCCTGCTGGGAGGGGAGGTAATCATTTCCCCTAAGAAGAAACTGAAAAGAAGCCTAGATGTTGTTTGTTGTTCATATTATATTACGATTACTATGTAATAACAATTTGAACTAAAACAACTATATTGGCGGCATTCACCATGTTTTCGCTAGTTTTTATATATCACGTGTCCATGTTTCATTATATTAAATTTATATTAAGTAACCAACCTTATACAGCCCCTAGGTACCAGGTTTACGACGTAACACAATATCACTACTAACACTAGGAGGACTGAAACTAACAAAATTTACATATAGAAAATGGTGTATTGATTTCATAGCAGTATTGGGGAGTGGTCATGGTTAGTCCTGTACCTATGTGGTACGAAGGTCTTTGACATGATGCCATCAGCTGTTGTATTTGCATAGATAGAACTGTTGCATGCCTTGATTGATATACTACCAGCCATTTTGTTAGGAGGATAAATCACGGCACTGAGTGCGATGGTTATTGTCAAGACAAAGCCTACAAAAGCTCCAGCATAGGCACCCTGTAAAATGATAATATAACAGTATAATATTTAAATGTCTTTTGGCCCGAAGCAATCGTATAAACAGGGGAATTAATGTTAATTTTTGTCCATAACGGGTAGTACGCTTGCATGCTTATTTAATCTGGCGCACATCCAGTCATGCACTTAAACGCAAGAATTGCGTAAGTTTAACTATGGCGTGATAACCAACTCGTTTAGGACTGATGTGAAATGGTCGTATACTCGTATAGTCTGCACGTTATAACAACTTAACTCTAAGTAAAATATAGAATAGTTGCACCGTTGTACATCTCAACTGAACTTTATTATCCCACTAAAAAAGTTTCAATGCTTTACGCCATTTTCACTGCATAATAACATTTTGCTGCAACACATAATAGATCCGGAATGTAATCAATAATATATGATAACTAGAGTTCTTAATCGTTGATATAGGTAAGGGAGACAGAATTTTCCAGTTGTGTTTAATTTAAAAAATTCCTTCTCAACAACTAGTTGACAATTAACACAGATTTAAAAAATATCAACATATTAATTATGATTCCTTACTGTATATTTCACAGTTCTCCTCATAATTTATACTTTTTGTTTGTATTTTTCTTATTTTTGTGTTCCAATTTCTAAATGGCCGAAATTGCTCGGGTCTGAAGAATTCACCCTACATAGTTAGACTTGTCACAAGTTCAGCTCATAATTGTTTCCTAAATTTTATTGGGCAAGTAATAAAGTGGAGATTGGTGCGAGGAGTCGGATTGGATCTCTCCCCATAGTTTGCAGTTCTCAAATGATCAGTAATTCTAGTGTCAGTATATTATATACATTGTTTTTGACAGTTGATCTCTGGTTGATATAGAAATTATAGATCTATCTTCACAACAATTTTTATGTTACCTGTATTGTTTTATATTGTGTACATCACCTAAACGGAAAATAAATTTCGTGATTATCATACCTTATAATTGGCTCTTGGTATCATAATTCCCAAGAAAAATATTCCAAGCAAAGGACCACCAACTATTCCAGTAATACTGTAGGAAAGCTGAAAGATTAAATCGTCATGCAGATTAAAATATCTAACTGCAAGTACTAACATAGTAACATTCGAGGACACTATGAATTAATGTAAACTTGTGCCATCGTTAGGGAAATTCATGTACATGTACATGTACATGTACAAATGAAGAGAACTTCTGTATTTTGACCAAAGGCACCAGGATGCAGGGAAGGGGAATATAAAGAACACATCTCCTATACAGACACACACATATACAAAGTCATTCTTAAAACGATAAATAGAAAGTGATACAGTAGAACTATTTGCGCAAAAAAAGCTGTGGAAGAAGTGCCTTTAACTGCATCAAAAGTACTTCCAATCAGTACTTACAGGGCCGTAGCCTATTTTTATGGAAAATGCATGTATGATGATTATTTAATAGCTGATAACCTGATCGATCTCGATATATGCAATTTGTGTACATACAGTTAATGAAACAACTTTCAATGTGAAACTAACTGTTTATACTATTATAATATATATATATATATATATATATATATATATATATATATATATATATATATATATATATATATATATATATATATATATATATATATATAATAACTCATGCGGCGTTGTACCAAAACTGACGTATTGGCTATTAAAATGACAAAAATAGTCAATGAAACAAAAAGAAACACAGAACTCACTTGCCTCGTCGACCAAAAGCATCACTAATGCTATTATGCAGGTAATCATTATTTCCCTTGCTAATCAATATTAATATCATGAAAAAAATACATTATACCGAAGTAGAATCTGCCCGACTAAAATCTGACTGGGAGCTACAACCATACTCCCACCCTATACGTCTATGGAGTCACCAATTTGAGAGAATGCCATTTGATACATCCATTTTCAAGTGAGGAAGTTTTATACAGCATTCCTTGGGGGTATTGTATCATTATGAGTCACTTACTTGCTCTAAGTTCCCACACCTGACTAATATGCTAATTGCGTTCTATGGCAGAAAATTTATTAATTTCACTTCAACCAAATGAACGATATATACCTGTAATACCAATGTACCAAAGTATTTGATTACGAAAGCACAGCCTGTTATCACTATACCATATAACACAGCTAAAAGAACGAACGAACATGATCTGTAAGAATTGTAATTGTTTATAACATTATAGGCCGTGGGCTGTTGTGAAAAAGTGCCTAGAAAAGCAATTGCGTGGCACCCACCTGGGAAATAGATTTTCTGTGGTTCAATTCATAGAACCATAGATGCTTAATTACCACAAAAAGTTCCCAAGCAAAAAACTTGCCCAACACCGAGAAAATGGGTGATCAGTGATTATCCTCTATTAAATTGTATTACAGCAAGAAAATGTAAAATTTTGTATTCAATTACAACAAAAATGACTTGCATTATCAGAAAGCTTACAAAAACCTACATATAAGACATCTAAACAGTTTTTTTTTATATCTAAAATTGTTTTCGAGTTATACGCTGTCAAAAACGCGTTTTTGACCTAGTACCCAGTCCTTATTGCGACATTTTGGTCCAATTTTCACATTTAAAACAGCAATAACTTAAAGACTATTTGAAAAATCAAAAAACTGTTTAAAAGTCTTATATGCGGTTTTCTGTACGTTTTCCGATGATGAAAGTCATTTTTATTGTAATTGAATACAGAATTTCCCATTTTTTTGCTGTAATACAATCTAATAGAGCATAATCATTGATCACCCATTTTCTCGGGATATTTGGTAGTGATGTACCTATATGCCTTTCAAATAAATCCCAAACCAAGTATTTCCCACATGGGTGCCACGAAGCGAAATAATTTTGGCCCACAGCCTATTACAATTAACTGTATAATAAAAAAAAATAATAATAAAAATAGTAATAATAATACAATATATATTTAAATATAATTCTATATTTAACAAATATAAAACATTTTCCATGTTGATATACAGTTATATATCAACACACAATTTCTCGTTTTCCCAATTTTCACAAGCAATTGTGTAATATAGCACAAAGAAATATAAAGAAATATATTTTCCGTGTTGACATTTAGTTATATCAACACGGCTCTTAAAGTAGCCAATTAGCGTTCATAATCAGTTGCGAATGCTATACATGGGCGTATGGGCCTAATCTTGTTGGAGGGGGGGGGAGCACAATATAGTTTGTCCGAACAGGCAAACTGAACATTAATATTTCTCCCCAAAATTGTTGGCGAGCGGGGGGGCAGGAGGCCACCAAAAAAATTTTCCGGACATACCAAAAAAAATTTTACGAACAAATCAAATACTTTTCTACAAACATACGAAAATTTTGCCGGACATATCACAGAATTTTCCCTAACATCACGTAATTTTCGCAAAGATACAAAAATTTTTCGGGAAATATCAAAATTTTTCCGAAATGTTTATGTTTTGCCCGAATTTCGCATTGATTTTTGCCCGACTGTAAAAATTTGGGGAGGGGCACGTGCCCCCCCCCCCCGTGCCCCCGTCCCATACGCCCATGATTCTATGTTATAAATTTAAATATAATGCCATAAGTAATTGTACTAAAAACGTATTAAAGTTTGAAAACGTAGTAAAGTTTAAAAGCGTTAAAAAGAAATGTCTTTAATTGTCTTTTAATTAAAAAGAGGAATGTTTTCGCTTTGTCTGATTTTTAATGGCAGAGCGTTCCAAATTCGAGGCCAGGAGCAGCAAGTGCAAAAGCTCTGTCTCCTGCAGTTTTTAGTTTAGTGACAGGAACTTGAAGAAAACCTTGGTCATCTGATATTTAACAATTATTCGCCAAAGGCGAAGTGATATACCGGTGAATATTCACCGAGACGAAGTCGAGGTGAATATTCACCGTAATCACTGAGCCTGAGGTGAATAATTGTTTTATTAAACTTCAGAAATAGAACTGTTTTCGACCGGTATACGGTTACTGTTTTAGTGTTGCAGTGTTTCTTGTATACGCGCATGCGCTTTCAAAATGGCTTCCTGTTTGACTTTATTGCTTTATTACAAATTTGTTTTTCTCGATTTCTGCTTAGAATATAAACACAATGATGGAATAACTTTTTCACCAGACGTGAAATGAAATGTAAAACTATATCGTTCGAGATATAAAAATTTTAATACACTTTTCACTTTACAAGTTTCAAAACCACAATAGTACAATACAGCGTCAAGACACCATACAGCGCAATGAAAACACGACATATCAAAAGAAATAGTATCGTATAAATTATATTGATAGGTAGATATTTATAGGATACAAAACAAAATTGTTTTAAAAGAACTCACTGCTTTTCCCAACAGTCGGGATAATTTTTGTTATTTGTTTGAAGTTAATGTTTCGGAGTTTTAAATAAGTTTTAAATTGTCCGTGAATATGTTTGACACAGTAAAATAATAAAGGAATCCTACCTTTCAAGTTAAATACAACATTTTGTGGGGTTTTTTCGTTTTCTGGGACGATCTTTTCAATATTTTGTCGATTTTAAAACCAAATTTGCCGAATCGTTCTTTTTGAAAAGTATTATTTACTAGTCCGCTAGTAAATAATGCGTCAGATTTACTAGCCAATCAGAACGCGCGAAAGCTCATTTGATATGCAAAAATTATACTAATAATTTATATTTACTGCCGAGATATAGCTAGGAGCCATGTCAGTAAGGGTTTTGTAGACCAATTTTGTAGACCTAGCTTTCAGAATTTTACAGGTAGCCAGTGGAGACTTGATGGTGTTATATGGGAAAATCTTGGACTTTGGCAAGTAAGGCTAGCAGCGGCATGCATTTAAGACTCTCTGAAATCGTTTATGTTGGTACTTAGCGATTCCAGATAGAAGGGAATTACAATAGTCTAGGTGAGACGTCACAAAAGCATGTATCAGGATTTGTGTCGATTCCATTGATAGGAACTTTCTTATTTGACGTATGTTGTACGATCTTCTATAAATGCTTTACTGCAAACGTTTCCGACATGGGTATTCATAGACATGCGGTTATCGAAACAGGAACCTAAATTTCGGACACTTTCCACAGGTTTGATATCTACGCCTCCAAGGAAATCCCACGTACAGAATCGATTTGAATTTTCGATGGTTGACGACGTGTGCCAATTATCAAGAATTCCGTTTTAAAGTCTTTAAACATCAGTTTATGAGTAAGCAGCCATGGGTTGCAGATTGGTCTAAAATTCTCAAAAAGCACTTCTAGATCTAGGCCAGTTTGTTTTTAAAAATGGCTGAAGTAGAGCAATTTTCCAAACGTCCGGGACATGTCTTTCTTGCATGAATAGGTTGATGATTTTCGTGATAATAGGTGTTAGTTCATTGGAGCACATTTTAACTAACCATGCTAGAATAAGATCCAATTCGCAAGATGTAGCAGAAGACTCAATGATTATGTCATGAACCTCTTGGTCAGAAAGAGGAATAAATTATTCTAACTTAACTTCAGGTCTACGATATTCAACCAACCGTGGATCTATAGCAATATTGTCAATATCTTCCCTCATGATCAGTTTAACTTTACGGTAAAAGTATTCACCGAACATATTAATAAATCATATTACAAAGTGATGTATATCCGTGTTTCAATAAATTAGTAAGTTATTCTAAATAAAATCTTACCTATAGGTCACATATTTATAGCCTTTTTTGCTGGGAAAAGTTTTTCTTCGCAAACGATCAATCTTTGTAATAGCGCCCATGCATCGCCTTGCCATATAATAAATGAAATTAATTTCGAACTTGTCTGGCTAGGTACAAATACTGCAATTCTTTAAAAATATGCATTGGCTGCAATCATGAATTAAATTTTCTTTTATAATGAATTAGGGAAAATGTGCACTTTCCACCTTCCAAATAATTCCGAATTATGATTGTGCACGAAACGTGCGAACAGCAAATAGAATCTAATCAATTAATATGTTTTAAAAAAGCACATACTTTTATATAAAATGCATTGATTTATAGTGATTGACTTTGATTTATATGATTAACTTACCTAATATTTTTGACAATTTCGTTGCTTCGTAATCTGATAGATCTGTCCATCTTTTCTTGACTACATCTTCCAACGTGACAGTGATCAACGAATTGAGACCAGATGACGCCGTACTGTAAAGAAAACCATGATTTAAAACTCTTTGAAAATAATACAACTATATTCCTCATTTTAATTGCATGAAATTACCAGCGTTACCTCAAAGCGCCACTAAACAGACACGCCATGAAAATTCCAGGTACTCCAGTCAAGTAACCCAATTTGTCAATCACAAAGTAAGGTAAGACCTGCAAAGTAATATGGTACTTTTCGTTACTAAACAACTTCGAAACGTGACAACTTCAACTTTATAACGAATATATTCAACGGCATAAACATCTAAGCCGAATGTTTATGCCGAACTTATTCAACGGCATAAACATCTAAGTTGAATGTTTATGCCGAACATATTCAACGGCATAAACATCTAAGCCGAATGTTTATGCCGAACATATTCAACGGCATAAACATCTAAGTTGAATGTTTATGCCGAACAAATACAACGGCATAAACATCTAAGTTGAATGTTTATGCTGAACATATTCAACGGCATAAACATCTAAGTTGAATGTTTATGCCGAACATAAATACAACGGCATAAACATCTAAGTTGAATGTTTATGCCGAACATATTCAACGGCATAAACATCTAAGTTGAATGTTTATGCCGAACATATTCAACGGCATAAACATCTAAGCCGAATGTTTATGCCGAACATATTCAACGGCATAAACATCTAAGTTGAATGTTTATGCCGAACATATTCAACGGCATAAACATCTAAGTTGAATGTTTATGCCGAACATATT